AAACGACGGTCGGACGACCGGACGGACGGAGAGAGTGAAACTAATAACCACTTTTTTTCAAACATTTTTTTGAAGAGTGCTAACAAATGTTTTCTTTGCAAAATTAAAAACTTAATAAAATTAGAAATTATGAATTAATTAAAGCAACACTGAATAAATATTGAATAAATATATTTTAATTATTGAAATGAATAATATTCTTATGTATGTGGCGTAAAGAAGCTATTTGTTTTTGCAAATGGGAAAAACAATTATGAACTTTACATATACTTAGGGTGGCATTTTCGCCAATATTATTAAAAATATCTCATATCAAATTGTTGATGTTCTGAATTTCTGGTTTAATACGTGCGTTTTGGATGGTGTTCTCCCCAGTTGCTTATAGTAAACTGGTTTGGTGCCTATATTCAAAAAAGGTGATGCGAGCGATCCTAATAATTACAGGCCTATTTCTATTTTACCAACTTTCTCGAAAATTTTTGAAAAAGTGATGAAAGTAAGGTTTGCTTCATTTTTAAATAAAAACAATTATTTTAGTAGAGTACAGTTTGGCCTTTTGCAGGGTAAATCTACCGAGGAGGCTCTTCATAAATTCTGTTGCTAAATATGCGAAACTTTGAATTTTAGTCCGTCATTTCTATAATGTGATTGCACCTAAAATTTATAACAGGTTTTCAAAAACTGTCATTACTGTGTTGTCGATGTTTTTCAAACGTATTGGGTGCAGTTTGATGCAGTTTTATTTTGATGATATAGGAAATTAGTTTAAAATAACAACTTAAATTAAATGTTGTCCAACTACGACTCTTAATACCTAGAAATGGATTTTAGTTTAACTATAAATGAATTATAGTTTTTCTTTTCTTGTTCTGTTTGAATCTTTATGGATTGATTGATTAGATTTTGCTTTTTCATTAGCAAACAAATTATTGTATTTTTACCGACCGTATTGTGTAAACAATAGGTAGGTTATGTGATGGCAACAAATTTTGCATATCGAGTTTTCGGTGGGAACGTACTTCTCCATAGTAGGGAAGTGTAAATAAACTATTTTTAGCAACCTGTCGGTCTGTCCGTCTGTCGGTCTGTCAGTCTGTGTGTGCACGCGTGTATCTCAAGTTCGGCTGAACCGATTTTGATGAAATTTTATATGTAAGTTTGTTTCCACCATGGCACGGATCGATCAACTTTTGGTATATATCAGGAATCGGGAACTGCACTTTTTAGCGGGCCTGTTTTACGTTTTTGAACATTTTAAAGAAAATATTCAACCGATTTACTTGAAATTTTATATATAAGCTCAGCTCGACCGTCCGCAAAAATTCGTAAGTTTTGAAAGAAATCAGGCATCGGCAACTAGACGTTTACTACGGGCCAAATATACATTTTTGTGTATATAAAGAGAAGTAATCAACCGATTTCATTGAAATTTAATATATGAACTTCTTGTATTAAAGCAATGAACATATAAATTTTTTGGAAAGGTCAGGGCTCGAAAACGGATTTGCGGGCCGATTTTACATTTTTCTCCATTTTGAAGAAAGTATTCAACCGATTTACTTGAAATTTCATATATAAGCTTTGCTCGATCATACGCAAAAATTCCTAACTTTTGGAAGAAATCAGGTATCAGCAACTGGGCGTTTACTACGGGCCAAATATACATTTTTGTGTATATAAAGAGAAATAATCAACCGATTTCATTGAAATTTAATATATGAATTCCTGGTATTAAAACAATGAACATGTAAATTTTTTGGAAAGATCAGGCATCGGCAACTAGACGTTTACTACGGGCCAAACATACACTTTTGTGTATATAAAGAGAAATAATCAACCGATTTCAATGAAATTTAATATATGAATTCCTCATATTAAAGCAATGAACATATAACTTTTTTGGAAAGATTAGGGCTCGAGAACTGATTTGCGGGCCGATTTTACATTTTTCACCATATCCACAGAACAAATTGGTGGAATTTCTTGAAATTTGATATTGGAGTTCTGGTTGTTACCCAAACTAACTGGCGAGCATTTCAGGGAATTCGGGTAGCACAAAGCGAAACTCTACTAAGAGCCAAATTTACATTTTTCTAAGTATGTTAACTATAAGCTTACTAATGTCCTAAAAATTGGAAAGAAGTATTTAACAGACATTTTTATAATATTCTGTAACACTTTCATTTAACTAGACAATACACAATGCGGTCGGTTATGTGCTGACCACATCAGATTTTTTTATTTTTGATATTTATTAATTGAAATATTCTTTACTACTACATCCCTACATTTGTTCGCTACATTTACCTATACAATAGGGCGATTTTAACTATTTCATTTTGTGTATAGCAATTGTAATCTTTCTCATGTAAATACTTGTAAATATTATACATATGTGAATTGAAATAAAGATGAATCAAAATGTGAAATTGGAATAGTGCATTTCTGGCCCATATCCACTTTTTCACTTCAAAATTTTGCAGCTTGTATGATGTGGACCAAAATTTTTGCGGATATAGGGCATATAATTACCGTTTAAAAAAAAATTCGAGAATCTACGTATATATCGAAATTTCAATAATTTAAAACAAATATCATAAAAATAAAGAATAAAACAAGAGTTAAAAGTATTTTTTATAGAAAAATTTATGCTTTTCCGAAATAGCAATCAAAAATGTTTTTTAAATGTATTAAAAGAAGAATCCATTTTATTCCCTTTTATTTTACATACATAAAAATCACCCTTTTTCAAGGCTGATTTTTCCCTCTTACAACATTAATAGATTTTTCTTACCAGCCGAGAAATTATGTTTTATTAAGAAGAAATAAATTTTTTTGAAGAAAATAATACCCATGAATAATTTAAAATGGCTTTAAGATTTAGATTCTAAGATTTACAGACTGTCGAAGAATGCAGGAAGAAATTTATATGTCTGGTGTTATTTTGACAGAAGCGGTATTAAATCTTTTAAGTTATCAGTTTTTTCTTTGGAAATAAATTGCTGAGGCAATCTAGAAACAGGATTAAAGAAGAAATTTTTAGTTGTTTCCAAACAATTTGTTCCTACTTTTTATCTGAAATTTCATGTGCACATAGATCTTTACTAGAAACTTATTTTCGTAGAAGTAAATTTTTACCTATCTCCCCCCATCTAAAGTTATAGACCCCAAAGACTTAAATATGCCATTTTCTACCTTTTCTACCGAGGCACAGCACAAGCAAATTTTAAAAAATAAAATGGCTGCTAAAATGAAACGTTATGTAAGCCAATTTCTTTTAGAATTTTTGTTAATTTTTTTTCATTCATTCATTTTGGATAATTTTTTTTCTAAACCGTACGTTTCGGCAGTCTGAAATTTAAGAAGCTTATATATATTGATAAATAGTTTACTTCATTAGAAAAATTTTTTTCTAATAAAGTAAACTATTCGCTTCTCAAGTTATCGCCAAAACTAAATATATAACTATTTTTCTTAACTCAAGTAATTATCCCTCCAGTTCGAGCATTACGTTGTGGTCTTTTCAAATTTTGTGTTTTATTTTAAAGATTGCTTACATTGCTCATCCTAAACGAATGCAATTTTTGAAATGTATTCGTAATTGAATGAAAGTAATTTTAATATTGTAATACATAGCTAGATTGCAGTATTTTTACTTTTTGAAGGGAAAAGTGCTACATAACAAACCTCTGGTTTGACCCAACTTTATTTAGACAAGCTACAAGTTTTGTAAAATAAATCTAAAGAACGAATTGTTTATGGATGTTATTTTCAAAAAAAATTATTTTATTTTAATAAAATTTAATTTCTCAGCTGGTACGGAAAAGCTTTTGAAGTTACTTACCTTCAATGGTATAATATTTAACTTAAGCTTTTCGTTCAATTTATTATTAAAATATTTAATTATCTAAAAAAATATTTAAAACTTCATCTAAATCTAAAATATTTAAGAATTTTGTACACAGACACATCTGTAACACCTCTATAACACAAAATTAAGCATATTTAATTTTTCCCACATATTATGCCGATAAATAGGTTCCTATTCAAAATTATATGGATATGGGTCAATTTGGTATTATTATATATTACGTATTAAGTTCAAGGATGTGGATTATTTTACGATTAGAAATTTTTTTGGAAAAATGTGAGGAATTTTTATCCAAAGATTACTCAAAGATAAAGAGAATCTAAGTTTCTAAGATAATGGATCTAAGTTTCGGTTCTATAATTCAGTAACCAAACGTTATAGGGAAAAACGGGCTACATTTTATGAAACGGCGTCTGCCAAAACCGACAAAGGTGTTGCTTACTCCAAAAATCTCAAAATGTTAAATGGATTACAGCATTGGACCAACGACATTTTAAGTGATAAAGTAATATCCGTGACGATTGTACTACCGTCTCGAAGCTTTCAATGAATTTACATTGTAAAAACAAACTGCATTGATACATTTTGGAACACATATTTTACAATATTAATGCATACTTGATTTCAATTTAAAGTTCTGTGCAAATGTTAATTTTTAGCAAACGTTACCACTTCATTAAAAACACAGCGTTTTAGGAAAAAAACTTAATAACTAGCACTTTATTGCTAAAAATATATGCTAGTTAATTTAATTGGTTATTTCTAGCAACATTTATATGACATATTGATACCCGATTTACTTTTATATTTGTGTACAATGTCAAGAGCTTTTACTAAACTTTTTGGAATGTAATACATTGTAAAGTTTACGTTGTAAGCGCATTATTGAAGTCACGGTATGTTATAATGATTGCACACGTACTCGGTATGTTATATGATGATGAAAATTGCACACGTACATATGAATGCTTTTAAGATTGGTTTATTCCGAATTAAAATTTTCTGATATTATACGATAGATTTAATTAAGTACCAATTTTATATTTTATTATGTATGTGCAAAACAGAAATTTATGTTTTATTAAAAATTATTAATAAATGAATAAAATAATTTCTTTTTATTTTTAAGGACTAATTGTATTTTTGGGAGTAAAATTTGTCAACAAATTTGCAACCGTTGCACTTGCTTGTGTGATACTATCCATAGTAGCTGTTTATGTTGGTATTTTCGATAATTATTATGGAAACGATAAGCTTTTGTAAGTACAAAACATTATTGCAATGAATTCTTATTATAATTTTTGTGTTCATATATTAAGCAAAAATTACGTTACAAACCTATACATTAAAAAAAATAAACTCCCAATACTAAACTTAAACTCTTGTTAAATTCTTCTGAAATCTAATGCTATTCTTGTTAAATCTCTAAGTAAAATTCAATGCTTCTAAAGCAGTCCTTTTGACTTAATGAGATTTTTAAAAATATTGTAGATTAACAGATGATGAGTAGAACAAATAACAATTATCTTTACATGCTTTGCGTGTTTAACGCGGGTGACAGAAATCTTTTTGTTATGTCAAAGTATGTAACAAACGAGTTTTTTGACCTCCTATTTGTAAGGATGGGTTTGTTCGGAATCATCAAATAAAAGTTTTACGATTTTGTCAAAATGGAAAAAAATAAAATTTAAATTTTAAAACAATGTATCCTATTTTTTAAATACTTATACATTGTATTATTTTACATTTGAAAACTTAAAAATATTGATGCTTGGTATTATTTCATTCCAATGTGTCTGATGCGTCGCAGATGCAATTCCGAAGATACCCGATGTAAAAAAGGAAACATTAAGTACTCTCCAATTTGTGAAAGTACGCAGTCAATTTGAAAATAATTTGAAGGAATACCTATTCAGTATCTTTAAATAATATTATCCAAATTAAAATATTTTTATAATGTTCAAAGAGACAAAACCGAAATAAAAAAAAACAACAATGATGAATGCCCAGTTTTAGCTCCAAACTTACTTTATATGTGTGCTTTCTTAAATAAAAACACCTTATTCGTTTAAAATAATAAATATAAAAATAAATAAAAACGTAATATTGTGTAAAGTTATTTACACACGCGAACCTTTCATGTACGTTTCAACACGTGGTTCATTTACTATTATATTATGTATATATTTATCATTTATTATTTATATGGTTTTTTCATAACAAATAAATGTTATGTTCCTAGCAGTTTGCTTTAGTATGATATACGTACATATATTTTATTTTTATATATTATTCTATTCTTCTAATATAATCAGAACTGTCGTTGGATTTTTTGGATGGAGAGTCGAAATATTCAAACAAAAAAGGGAGCCTTCAAAAAAAATGGAACCGGTTTCTGTATTTCATACAAAAACAATTTATTAACTGAGAAATAATTAGATATCGTTATTGAATTCCAAAAAACCTCTTGTAATAATTGCGCAAATTTTTCATTGCTAAGAGCCATTCCCTAATAGAGAAACGTCTAAGAGAAACGTCTAGGCTAAGAGAAACGTCTGGTGCCTGCAAAATTCTTGTAGAATTTGGGATAAAGTGCTATTAATAATAATAAACACAAAGATGGCTCGTAAAAGGGCTTTAAACCAGCTATTTCCAGGAGTAGAATTATGTCCAAAAGGGTGTAGTTTGGATGCATCAGTTATAAGTTGCTTCACTGTATGTAAAACGTTCTCTTTAGTTTTTGGCAAACCTTATTTTTGTGAAATCACTCTAATCCACTGTGCATCCTTTTTTAGAAATCTTTTTATTTTTGATTTCTGAAATTTCTCTTTGTAAAACTTCATCAGAACAGCTTTTCTTAGTTTTAGGCTTTTTCATTTGGAGTAGAAAATACTAAATACTAAAAATTATATAGAAAACAATATTTTCACAAAATTTATTTAAAATTTGAACTTTATTTTTCAAGAAAACATTTTTTAGCTTTAAAAACAATAAAAACAAGAAAAAAATAGAGTTGACCTTGTCAACTCTGTGATACCCGTACGAATTTGTGAAAGATGCCATAGCGGAATATAGGCAGACTATGACTTTAAGTTGCCGTATTACCATATTAATTTATGCAAAATTTCAGTACCGTGATTTTCAAAATACTGTGTGTGCCAAACTACTATTGAAGTTGTATGGCTGCTACCAGAAAGAGCCAAGAAATTTTAACGGCTTTTATCAAACACATTGTTCCTACTAATATATTTGCTTGGATAATATTTCTATATTGTAGCTTTTATAGCTTCTGAGATATAAACAAATAACTTTTGAAGTTGTATGGCAGGTACCAGAAGGAACCTAGTAATTTCAACGAATTTTTTGAGACATATTGGCCCTACTAATATATTCGTTTGTGTAAAATTTCAATACCACAGCTTTTATAGTTTCTTAGATGTAGCTAAATAAATTTTTAAGTTGTATGGCAGCTACTCGAACCGGTGTACCGATCACGTCCAATTTAAATAAGGTTCTGGCACTTACCACAGTAAATTATTTGTGAAAATTTGGTGAACTTACCTCAATTAGTTTTGGAGTTATCCTTGGGATGGAGGGACGGACGGACAGGCAAAGCTAAATCAACTTAGAATTTGACGCTGATCAAAAACATACACTTAAGTCTATATCTAAGACCGTTATTTCTTAGCGTTACAAACGGTAAGACAAATTTAGTATACCCTTCGAACATACGTTCGTACGGGTATAAATATAAGGTTTTCCTGCGATTGCGAGAATTTCTCTCGCTGAACAACGAGTTTCGCAAACTAGCAAAGCAAATTATGAAAAGACGGTACTTGCTGCGAAATTTGAAGCATCCGCCGTTGACTTTACATCACCGTTGTTTGTTTTTAAAATCTAAACACTTTAAAGTTGGATAATTCGTGCAGCGTAATTTTAAAGACCTAATTTTGGTTGTTAATATCAATTTTCGTAAAAATTAAATTTCATAATAATTAAATAATTAGTCATGGGTTTAGCTGCGACAGCATAAAACTTTTTTAAATGTTAAAATTCTTGCATTTTTGAAAATATGTTGTAAAATGGTATGATATGTTTAATTGAGGATCTTTACTAATCTTTTCAAAATATGCTTGTGTTTTTTTTTTTGGGAATGGAAAAATCTTTAATATTTGTACATGTCGCAAAGAGTTGATAATTGACACCTAGCGAATTACCCTGTGTTTAATAAAATATGACAGCTAATTACACAATGGCAACAATGAATGTTCAAGTATATAAGACTTGAGGAAATTCTATTTGTTTTCCAAATGAAATAGAAAGTGAGGAAATCGCGTTTAGCAAATTTCAAGACATGAACTTATGTAAAAATTTTTCAAAAGTACATGTCTTGAAATTTTTGCTAATATTAAGTTTAACTCTTTAATTTAATTTAATATGTTTTTTTGTTTCAGTATGTGCACACTTGGAACAAGATTAATAAAAGATGTACCAATCGATAACTGCACAAAAGAAGAAGGCGGGGTGTTACATAATCTATTTTGTGATAAGGGCAAATGTGACGAATATTACCAAGGCAAGCATTTTATTTTGTTTTGATAAATACAGTTCAAAAAAACTTAATGACTAATCTTTTAAAACTAAACTCTTTTGTACTTTTAGCAAATAACGCAACTATAGTGAGGGGGATTAAAGGTTTGGCCAGTGGCACATTCTATAAAAATATATGGCCATCTTTTATTGAAGTAAGTTGATCTTAAACTTTTATAATGTTTTTTCTAATATTAAATTATATTTTAAAATGTTGGAGCTTAAAAATGTTGAAAACTTAGAATTACAAAAGGAAATTTCAATTTTTAACTTAAACCTTGGAAAAATTTAACACTGTTTATTTATAAAATAGATAAAGTTTTCAAAAGAGAGAAGATTAGGAGGGGTTGTTGAAAAAGGTTCACCTCGTTATTCTACTCAAGGTTACCACTTCTGGATTCTGAGCAAATATGTTTACTTCTTTTGATTTATTTGATTACGCGGTACCCTTTTTTTATACTGGTTCGTTCCTCTTTCCTATTTTGACATTTCAATTTTAACCTGAAAAAACATTTGTATGCGTTTTTTATGTAAATGGAAAAGGTGATTTCCCTATAAAATTGGCTTTTCTTAAATTTTTTAATAGAAAACCTTAAAATTTAGGTTTTCCAAAATTTTTTGGAAGAAAGTTTATCTCAGCGTTTCCCAAGTGATGTATATAGACCCACAGGGGCACATGAGAACTTGCTGCGAAAGTGAAAAAAATTTTGGTGATCTATCAAATAAAAATGGGGATCTACGAAAAGCAAGTGATATATTATATAAATATATAAGATTGAATTTATTTTTGTTTAATTTTGCCCATGTAAGAATTACTTTACTTTTATTTAAATTTAACAATTAAATTATTTTATTATATAACTTAATTAATTAAATATAATGAATTTAATAAAAAATGAGAAAAAATAGAGTTGACCGTGTCAACTCTGCGATACACATACGAATTTGTTACTATATGTGCGAGTAAATATTCAAATTTCAGTACTGGGTTTTCAATATTTTGTAAGATATGGCCAAACTACTATTGAAGTTGTACGCAGCTGCTGCAAGGAGTCAACAAAGTTCAAAGATTACGCATAACCGTAATAGTAACACATGTGCTTTTACGAAATTTCTATATTATAATTTCTATAAATTCTGACATAACGCTAAATAACTTTCGGAGTTGTATGACAGCTACCAGAAGGACCTAAGCACTTTCAACGGCTTTTGTCAAACAAATATGCCCTACTAAAGTATTTGCTTGCGTGAAATTTCAATTCAACAGTTTTTATAGTTTCTGAGATGTAGCCAAATAATTTTTTAAGTTGTATTGCAGCTACCAGAATGAGCCAAGCATCAACGACTTTTATCAAGCACAATTGTAAGGCAGGTACCCGAACCAGTACCAAGGTCATAACTAATTTAAATAGGGTTCTGGCAATTACTATAATAAATCATTTGTGAAAGTTTGATAATCTTAGCTCAATTAATTTTTGAATTAGCGTTGGGGCGACGGATGGATGTACAGACAAAGTTAAACCGACTCAGAATTCGACGCTGATCGGAAACATATACTTGAGTCTACATCTTAGACCATTATTTCTTAATATTACAAACAGTAAGGCAAACTTGGTATACCCTTCGAACATACGTTCGAACAGGTATAATATTAATTTATTTAAATAAGTTTTTTGTTTGACTTTCTCACATCATAGGTACCTTGCTACTCTGTCAAAGAAAGTGGCGCAGGAGAGGAGATCTATCAGAAATTGGAAAACACGTCAAGGGGTCTGCGAGAGAGAAAATGTTTGGGAACCTCTGGTTCACCCTACAGTAATATTATTACATATTTGAATTAAAAAATGTGTTTTTTTTTCCAAAATTCTACCGAAATTTTTTCATATACTCTCTTATAGCATAATAAAAGATTCTCAAAAATTTCTAATAAGAACTGAAAATAAAATTGGTAAAATTTCGGATTTTAAAATTTTTAGGCTGTAAACATTTTTGAAAACTAATATTTCATAAAAAAAAGCTATGTTGTAACACAGTTAATTGTAATTTTTTTAAAAATAAATTTTTAAGTATCTTACAAAACAAGCTGTGTCTAGGCTTGTATTTTATAAGCCTTCGTTTAGTTTATTATTTCTTTGTTTAGAGCTACTTTTAAGAATAGCAATAGTAAGAAAACTTTTTTGTTTAATTTGACTTCAAAATTTGATTTTTGTTATAAATTAACGGTTTTCAGTCGAAGTTTTTTTTTCATATTGTGTTCTACATTTTTACAAAATTTGGTTATCCTACGATTATTTTAACCGAAGTTATTACAAAACTTACAGAAAACATACATTTGTAAATAAAAATGATAGCTTTGTAAAAATTAAAAAATCGCCTAAATTGGGGTAAAAACAAAAAACTTCTTATTTAGATTTTGAGACAAACCGCAGAATTAGTGACAATTTATAAATATCGATTTAGTGTGTGAATTTTTATAGCCGCCCAGTTATGTAGAGTCAAAATTAGTTTAGTTCACAAAAGTACAACATTTAAGCCCAATTGGATTAAGAGATTACTCTAGATACAATTCTACTTCATATGTGCAGGTTCTTGAGCATGTCTAGTTTATTTGTTATAAAACCTGTATATAAGAATACATTACACTCACGCTTATTTTCGTTAAACAATTTACTTACATTGGGGTTTACCAGACCCCAATTTGGAAAATTCATTTTATTCAAATACTATCAAAAAAAACAAAAATTACTTCAAAATTCATTAAATTGAATTAAATAACAAAAATTCATGATTTATCAGAGCAAATTAGTACTCTGTGTAAATTTCAAATGTACAATTTGCTAGAGAAGAAAGTTTTCTTATCGTCTTTCCTGGAAAAAAAGCAAATTTGATAAAAAAGTTTTTATTCCTTTTATAAGTTTCCAATATAAAAAAAAAATAACAAAAAAACAATTAAATCTAAATCTCTTACACATTACTCACACGTGGGCGTCTCAGACCCCAAAACGCCTTTAGGAATATTTTTTGAATATTTTCAAAACTTTTTCTTAGATAACTTCAAACTGACGAGTAGGTTAATAATAAAAGAATCTTATCGTAGACTAATAGTAAAAGTACAATTTACATATATCTCTCGAATTGTTTACACTAACTTTGAAAAAGAAATTAATAAATTAAATCCTGGGTTCTACTGAACCATAGTGTGAGAATCGCGGGTTAAGTTTTCAATGCTTTAACTATAATGTGGTCGGGATCGGTATATTATATTATTTTACAAAACACACAATAAACTAAAATAGCCTGTAAAGTATACAAAAAAGTTTATAAATTATACTTAAAAAAAGTAAAAAGTGAGTATTCCAATGCTTTCTAAATGTTTGATTATATATGTATTTAGAATGATCGAATGACTAAAACTATAGTCAAATCAAAGACGTTAATAATGTCATTATTTCTAGGAAGTCACCAGTACTCATTTTTTTCACGAAGTATTTCGATTTGTTGTCTCTGTTACTGTTTTTTTGTATAAATTCATATTCTTTTTTTTACGTAAAGAGTTTAATATTTCAAAAAATCTCAGGATGTTATACATATTTTTTAAAAAGCTTCTCATTTAATTTCTACTGAACGAAAAAAAAAGAAAGGTAGGAAGAAAAAAAAATGAAAAAATTTTTCATGCCCTTCTCCATGGTAGGGAAGCGTAAATAAACTACTTTTAGCAACCTGTCGGTCTGTCGATTTTGGAGGGGTGGAGGGCGAAGGTGCAGATATATTCGTTTTCCAGCTACAGCCTGTTGAAAAAAAAGAGATACCGGACTTTCATGCTTATAAATGAACGCTTATAACTTCGGGACCATACAACATAGAGTGATCATTGGGTGCCCGTTTTACAGGCGACGATTGATTGTTCTTTATTTTTGGTCTACAATTTATTTGATTTGAGCCATAGTTTTCGAGATAAAGCTCGTCAAAGTCGGTATATTTGTTTTTTTCTATAATTTATCTATAATTTATTCCCTATAACAATTTTCTCTATCTGTTTTAGCAGTAAAACGTGTTAAATGTAAAAATATGGGAAAAATGTATTTGTCACACATGGTAGTTGTAATCATATTTAAATAAAACTTTAAAAACGACACCAAATTTCATTAATTTCTTAAAGCATTTTTTTCTTTTTAAATAAATTTTAGTATTATTTTTTGAAAATAGACCTTTGTATTATAGTAAACAAGTCGTGCGTGTTTGTATTGCAAGCCTTGCAATTATTATGTTTGTACTTTTAAAATTGTGTTTCATTCTGTGTGAGATATTTTAAGTTTCCCTTTTTTCTTCAAAAGCGACCCCTTAATAAATATATAGATATGCTTTTTTCCTAATATTTTATAAGATAAAACTTAAAATAAGTAATGCTCTTAAAAATAATTACGAAAAAGTACATGATTTAACAAATAATTAGTTCCTTTGAGATCTAATAAGTTTTGAGTAATTTATTTTAGAACCTCGCTTTGAGTTATGCCGCATTAAATTGCAAAATAGCTTTGACAATAAGCACTTTAAGCGATAAATTACCGTATGCGCAGAAAATAATTCGCTACTAAAATCCATGCATGTATGTATTTGGATTTTATAATATATGTGTGAATAAAACGAGTAATATCAATATATTGATAATTTTATTTTTTATAAAATCAAATTAAAAAATATGATGTGATCAGCACATAACCGACCGCAATGTGTATTGTCTAGTTAAGTGAAAATGTTACAGAATATTATAAAAATGTGTTCTTTCCAATTTTTCGAACATTAGCAAGCTTATAGTTAACATACCTAAAAAAATGTAAATTTGGCTGTTACAAGCTTTGTGCTACCCGAATTCCCTGAAATGCTCGCCAGTCGTTTCGGTAACAACCAGAACTCAAATATCAAATTTCAAGAAATTCCATCAATTCGTTCCGTAGATATGGTGAAAAATGTAAAATCGGCCCGCAGATCAGTTTTCGAGCCTTGATCTTTCCAAAAAATTTATATATTCATTGTTTTAATACGAAGAACTTATCTTGAGGCTGGGATTTTGCTTCCCTATCCTATTGAGAAATCCGTCCCTGGAGAGATTGATGGCTATTTCGTCCTTAGTCACGTAGGTGGCGCAACCATATTGTTTAGACATGCTGTTGCCATCAATTAGCACTATGTTACAATCGTCCCAAGGCTTTATCTTCCTGAAGACACTGGTTATCCACTACTTGGTGTTTTAATTATGGTATGTGACGGATGTCCATGCATTCCTATGCAACATTGCAGTGCAGAAAGGCGCCGACCTTTCTCCTACTGCCTTGAGAAAGAGTTTCTCCTCTGCGTCAGTCACCTACTGACGATTGAGCACCTACTGTAGTAGTATTGACGTTGTTATTGTAATAGTCGTCCCTAATATTGTTGTTGTTAGTGGTTATTTTTGTTGTTGTTCTTTTTTTCACCTTCCATTTTGTTCCCACGTGTAGCGCTTGTTTAAGCTTGAGAGCTGGCATCCAGAGTCCGCATATTAAGCTCCAACTCAACCACGCAGTCATTGGCATACGCTGTTCCACCTTGACTTGAGGCGCTCGTCGTTAGCTTACGTATATATGTAGAGCTGAAACTTACAAAACAAGGGATCCGCCACGAGAAATGACCTCTAGACGAATGTAACTTTGATCGTTTTAATCACTCCTTTATCCTCCGCCATTATCGGGGAACACCACAAGGAGGTGACAATGTGATTTTGGGCCCACTTATCTCTTACAATTATCAGTGTTCAATTTTAACTTTTTTTTTGGTGTAGAACTCCGAAGTACGAAGTTATAACATATTAGTATGATTGAAGTTGAAAACAGAACAAGGACGATTTTTCTTCTTATGGCGAAATGTAAAAATTCATATAGAATGTATATATTAACGGGACTAAATTAAAGCGAAATTAGCGCCGCGGAATTTGCCGTTGGCGCTTAAGTAACTTAAAATTCCATTTATTGACATAATCTGTTTCCACGTGTGTGCGGTTTTATATGCAAAACACTAAATACTTAATTTTTCCGTTTCGCTATTGTTCTGAAAAAACAGTGGAAATCGTATGTCGTTGTTTTTCAGCATTTTGGTGCGTTTTTATGCTTACATAATATATAGAACAGTATTTGCATATAAACTTTGCAATTTTGTTTTAAAATTTTAGTTAATATTCATTTAAAAATTATTAATCATTGATTGATTACTGCTTGTATATGGATGTTGAATTTCAATGTTAACAGTTTTAAAACATCAATTTTTTTTAAGTCGAATAACAAAAAGATAACAGAAAAACAAGCTTAATTCCTTTTGAAGAAGCCTAATATTCTAAAGCATATTGATTTATTTAGTTTCTTTAAATTCAAGGATTTCACCTGTGATATAGGAACTTGTGGTAAAAGTTTTGGTAACTTTTTAAGATGCTATATATATACAATGTATTTTTATTTTTTAAATTAATTATTTTTTTAAAGTATGTATACGTATAGTAACGGTTAAATAATTAAAACATTGTAATATAGTAACATTGAAAAACGATTAAATAATTAGAAAAAAAATTACTTAAAAAATTCAACTTTCGATTGCATTCATACCGGAATATTTATTTTAAATAAAATAAATCCTTAAGATTAAATTATAATTCAAAATTTTTATTTTTTTTTATTATTATTTTTTTTTGTAATTCAAAACTTATTTTGTTAACATTTTTCTTATTAAAAATGTTCCCACAAAATTCGCAAACGCATCAGCGATTTTTGTCGAGGAAATTAAAAGCAGTAACAATTAGCGTTGTCAAAAGACTTTGCCAAAAGACGAATTGAACAGAGTTTGCATTGTGAATCATGTTTAACAGTTTTAGACCAAAACCTCTCTTGTTATCGTCTAATTTGAAATAGCTGCAAATAATCTATCGTGTCGAGTCTTGAGTTGCAGTTCCACATGCTGGCATATAAAAAACTGCTCCAAGGAAGGATGGTACCAGCCTAGACCAACTCATAGTAGAATGCACAACCTAATTGAGTTGCAATAAATCAAAAAGTAGATAAAAATATTTATTATAACTATATTCACTTACAATAACTGAAACTTTTAAAAATTTATATATTTTGATTGAGACAAAGTGAAAACCCGTCCGTTCTTATTGAGGATTGAGAATTGATTTGTACATTAATATTAAAATTTACAAAATGTAGTAGACTACTATTTAAAAATGCCAATATGAAATGTAAGCCTGATTTTAATCACATTTGGCGGAAAATGTTTTTATACTTGTCCTATATAGCTTTTAAGAAAGTGTGTTTGTTTGTTGTTTCGAAAACAAACAAACAAAAAAAAAATTGGCTGATGAAAAGTTCACAGTTTGGCGTTCATAATTCTAACACCAAAGATTGATTATTTGAACACAATCCAAGCTCTGGCATAATTTTGCAAAATTCTAGACACTTCGTATTCTTAAGATTATGCAATTCAATCCTTAAAATTAACAGTTTTTCTTTAAATTTTTGTATATTTCTCTTTCTCAGGAAGGAAAATATATCGCTTACGGTGGAAACACGATTGAAGCTGAAGCAACAAAACCATATAGTTACGTGATAAACGATATAACTACAACGTTTACTATACTTATCGGCATTTTTTTCCCTTCTGTTACAGGTAAGCTTAAACATGTCATTTTATGTGTTAGACTTGAAATATATTGTATTTCTGTATAGGTATTATGGCTGGTTCAAATAGGTCTGGGGATTTAGCTGATGCTCAGAAAAGTATTCCCGTGGGAACTATATGCGCTATTTTGACAACAAGTACAGTTTATTTGTCCTGTGTAATGTTATTTGCCGGAACGGTTGATAATCTTCTTTTAAGAGACAAGTGAGTATTGAAACTGATATAATTCATGGTTGATAATCTTTATATTTTTATTTGTGACATAGATTTGGTCAGTCTATTGGAGGAAGATTGGTAGTAGCAAATATTGCATGGCCAAACCAGTGGGTCATTTTAATCGGTTCGTTCCTTTCAACACTAGGCGCTGGTCTACAAAGTTTGACCGGAGCTCCACGGTTATTGCAAGCTATTGCGAAGGATGGAATAATTCCATTTTTAGAGCCGTTTGCCGTTTCATCGAAACGAGGTGAGCCAACACGAGCTTTATTTTTGACAATTTGTATATGTCAATGCGGTATTTTACTCGGAAATGTCGACCTTCTTGCTCCTTTATTATCAATGTTTTTCTTAATGTGCTACGGTTTTGTAAACTTGGCATGCGCTGTACAAACTCTGCTTCGAACACCGAATTGGAGGCCACGTTTTAAGTTTTATCATTGGTCACTGTCTTTAATCGGTCTAACGCTGTGTATATCTGTAATGTTTATGACGTCATGGTATTTTGCATTGATTGCGATGGGGTTAGCAATAGTGGTTTATAAATACATAGAATATCGTGGGTAAGTTATGGTTAATCATTGTAAGTATTTTTAATTAAATTATTTTTATTTTATTCTATCAGTTTTGTATATTGATCATAATTATTTACCAGCTTTGTTATTTACCATACTATAAATCGATTAACGAACGCTTCTTGCGTTATTAATTTTCGAATGAGTTTTTTTTCTTTATTACTTCTCAAATTTTTGATTAAAAATAGTAAAATTATATACACTAACTATATAAAAGTACGTTGTAAGATTTGCCTAGAGCTAAAAAAAACTTTAATACCCCCATTATTGTTACAGACCTTCAAAACTTTACTTTATTTTTTTTTGTAAAAAGTTGACATAATTATAGGAAATTATCTGGCCCAACGGTAAGCAAATTCCACTGTTACAAAAAATCTTTCAAAATTCTAATAATGTGTTTTTTTTTAATTAAATGAATCTTTTTTTTGTTATAGTGCATTTTTTTTTGATATTTCTAATTTTTTTATTAAATAAAACCAAAGATTTTAACAACAAGATAAATTTCTGTTTGTAAAAATCAATTCTGGGATACCTTTCTTTTCTCATTTTTCAATAATTTTTTTTTTGCTTCCATTTATTATTTAAAATCTTATATCTTAATAAAAATTGTATTTTTTTATGTAAATATGTTATGTAGGTTATAAACAAAGTGAATTTAAATTTTTTTTTTTAAAAACAATTGTTTTATGTATTTAATTTTTTTGGTTTTACCAGTAATTTATTATTCTTGTTTGTAAGAACATGAATCGTTGTATTTAATCGTTTTTATTTGCCAAACATCCCAAATCCTCATGAACATTTTATTAAATGAAAGTGTTACAATATGTTATAAAAATGTCTGTTAAATACTTCTTTCTAATTTTTAGGACATTAGTAAGCTTATAGTTAACATACCTAGAAAAATGTAAATTTGGCTCTTAGTAGAGTTTCGTTTTGTGCTACTCGAATTCCCTGAAATACTCTCCAGTTAGTTTCGGTAACAACAAGAACTCAAATATCAAATTTCAAGAAATTCCATCAATTCGTTCCGTAGATATGGTGAAAAATGTAAAATCGGCCCTCAGATCAGTTTTCGAGCCCTGATCTTTCCAAAAAATTTACATGTTCATTGTTTTAGTCCGAGGAATTCAAATATTAAATTTCAATGAAATCGGTTGATTATTTCTCTTTATATACACAAAAGTGTATGTTTGACCCGTAGTAAACGTCTAGTTGCCGATGCCTGTTCTTTCCAAAAAATTTACATTTCATCATTTTAATACGAGGAATTCAAATATTAAATTTCAATGAAATTGGTTGATTATTTCTCTTTATATACACAAAAATGTATATTTGGCCCGTAGTAAACGTCCAGTTGCTGATGCCTGATTTGTTCCAAAAGCAAGAAGTTTTCATGGACAGTCGAGCAAAGCTCATATATGAAATTTCGAGTAAATCGGTTGAATATTTTCTTCAAAATGTTCAAAAATGTAAAATCGGCCCGCAAATCAGTTTTCGAGCCCTGATCTTTCCAAAAAATTTACATGTTCATTGTTTTAATACGAGGAATTCAAATATTAAATTTCAATGAAATCGGTTGATTATTTCTCTTTATATACGCAAAAGTGTATATTTGGCCCGTAGTAAACGTCTAGTTGCCGATGCCTGATTTCTTCCAAAATATAGGAATTTTCGCGAACGGTCGAGCTGAGCTTATATATAAAATTTCAAGTAAATCGGTTGAATAATTTCAAAATGTTCAAAAGTGTAAAACAGGCCCGCTAAAAAGAGCAGTTCCCGAGGCCTGATATATACCAAAAGTTGATCGATCCGTGCCATGGTGGAAATAAACTTACACATAAAATTTCATCAAAATCAGTTCAGCCGAACTTGAGATAGCCGCGTGCACACACAGACCGACAGACCGACAGGTTGCTAAAAATAGTTTATTTACACTTCCCTACTATGGAGAAGTACGTTCCCACCGAAAACTCGATATGCAAAATTTGTTGCCATCACATAACCTACCTATTGTATACACAATATGGTGGGTAAAAAACAACACAAACTTTTGTTTGTTTCTTTTTCGCACAAGAAATAATTTTATTGAAATATAGTAGCAGTAATGGCTTTAGCAAGTCCCAATGCTCACAGAGAAACTTGAAAGCACGACCTTATTTTATATAGGTTTTTTTTAAATCGAAATGGCTATTTTTTGAGAAGAAATATTAAAATTAATTCACACTTATTATAAAGCAGGTAAAACTTAGAAAATATATTTGAAAAATCAAAAAAATATATTAATATTTTCATTGATAATTATTTTAAAATTAAAAAAAAAGCGGAAAAACAACAAGCGCAACCTTCGTCTTCAACGTTTTATATGTTACTGAAAGCATTTCATTATTTTTAAGTGAACAGTTTTTTTTTCTCATAGGGTAAGTTAACTCAAGATATGGGAAGTAACTGTGGTGTCAAGTTGAAAATATAATTAATGAAAGATAATTATTAAATATTGATATAAATACACAGTAAAGAAAAAATTTGAAGAGGGGATTAGAAAATAATATCTAAAATACAATCAAATATTATTTGTTAAATACAAATTTTATATAAACTTCAAAATTTTACCTCAATTTTTATTTGAAGAAATATTAAAAACTTACTATCATTTATATCAATTACCTAGGAAAAAAAATATTTAAAATGGTTGGAAAAAACAATCATATATTTTTATGACCGGATTTGAATATTTTTTTATTTTTGAAATAAATGCTATTTTACCAAATGACTCAAAAATTCCGACAGTAAAATAACAGGTATTTTAAAATTTTTGGTTCTTTATGTAATATTCTTTCCGTTTAGAATTTAGATAGGTCATACATACACAAGCAGGGACATTTTATAAATAGATTGCTCTTGTCTACCTGGTAATAAAATATGAAAAAAGAGCACAGCAAAATTTTTGAAGCACTCAATATAACAAGTTTGAAATAGTTATAAAATAATTATTTAAAAAAAAAATTTATTGGAAGTAGGTACATACATATCTATTTTTAATAACTTAAAAAATAACCGAAATTATTTGAAACAATTTTATAAGTAACGTATAAGTAACCGAAATGAGATAATTCAAATTGTTGAAATGTGTCAACCTATATTACTTTTAATAACATTTTTGTTAGCCGACACTACTCAACTTACCTTATTGGAAAATACAAAATGTGCATAAAAAATCATACATCCTTCCTCATTCACATTTGAAACCATACTGGAATATGAATTTGAAATTTTTTTTCATTTTTTCTTTCCTCCTACCTTTCTTTCTTTTTCGTGCAATAGAATTTAAATGGGAACCTTTTTAAAAAATGTGTATAATATCCTGAGATTTTTTAAAATATTAATCTCTTTTTTGCGTAAAAAAAAGAAAAAAATAATAAAAAATATGACACAATCAGTGGCATTTAAAGAAAAAACCAGCAACGAAGCCAAAAATTCGTAATATTTCGTAAAAAAAATTGAGTATTGGGAATTGTTAGATATAAAGACATTATCAAAAACTAATAAAGCTATAAATATAAAATTTTGTATACATGTGTCCAATTATATCCTACACATGCTCTAAAAATTATAATGGGATAGCTACACCGGTTCGGGTGGCTGCCATACAACTCCAACAGCAAATTTTTTATATTCGGAAAAATAATAAAGTCAGATTCATGAAACTTGGCAGTCATGTGTCCAATTAAAGGTCAGACATATTTCTGAAGTTTTGATGGAATTGCTTGACAGGTTCGGGTATTTGCCATACAGCTCCAAAAGCTTATTTTGAATATTTGGAAAAATAATAAAGTCAGATTCATGAGCTTTGGCAGTTGTGTGTCGAGTTATAGGTCAGATATATTTCTGAAGTTTTAGTGGAATTGCTTAACAGGTTCGAGTAGCTCCCATACAAGTCTAAAAGCTTATTTTAAATATTTGGAAAAATAATAAAGTCAGATTCATGAGCTTTGGCAGTCGTGTGTCCAATTATAGGTCAGATATATTTCTGAAGTTTTGATGGAATTGCTTAACAGGTTCGAGTAGCTCCCATACAAGTCTAAAAGCTTATTTTAAATATTTGGAAAAATAATAAAGTCAGATTCATGAGCTTTGGCAGTTGTGTGTCGAGTTATAGGTCAGATATATTTCTGAAGTTTTGGTGGAATTGCTTAACAGGTTTGAGTAGCTCCCATACAAGTCTAAAAGCTTATTCTTAATATTTAGAAAAATAATAAAGTCAGATTCTTGAAACTTGGTAGTCGGTGAAGTTTCTATAGACTGATATCACAGGTTCGAGTAATTGCTATACAAAAACGAAAGGTGCACGGTATAATTCAATCGGTTTATACCGAGTGAAACGTTTTTATTTGTTTTAATTTAATATCGGGTTATTTATTTCTAAAATCATAAATTTCAAAAATCGAAAGTTTAGAGAAAACAAATTATTTTAATATATTTTTTAAAATTTTTTGACTTTTGTTACTTACTTCCTTTTTTTCTAATTTCAAATTATCTAATTTTAATTTTCTAATTTTGAAATATGTAACGCTAAAAGTCAAAAATTTCTTAAACATTTTCAATGGTTAAGTAAGTAAAATAGTAACTTGAAAGATTAACTTTTGTTTTTCTTTTTAACTGAGTACTTTGAATAATTTTTTCTTTTTTTGGCTGAATCGAACTGAATAAGTTTAAGGTTATTAGACTACTGTGCTACCTACTGCGCTTTAAGTTAACATGCTACTTAACGCCTTGAATTAATAAAGCCATTTTTATTTTATTCGTATTTTGCGTTACTCTTCGAAACTATTTGGATTTGCATTATGTTACATTATATATCTTATATACATATATCTATTATGTATTACCCAATTATCCCTGGCTTCCATATTGTAAAAACTTCCTGTTTGGTTTATGAAATAAGCGAACCGGTTTGGGTGTCAACACAAAGTTTAATCAGTTTTCAGTTTTAAAATATTAAAATTTATGATGAAAAGAAATATTTGTGTATTTTAAATATCTCATTTTTCATTTCCGGAAAGAGATAAGTTATTTTCGGAAGAAAATATACAGCTTTTAAATTAAAATAGCTTATTTTATATTTCACGATAAAGACATATTAATATTTTCTATTAACTTTTAGTTTTTAATTTAAAAATGACAACCAAAAATGAGGGCATAATTGACCTGATTAAACTAAACTTAATTTTCGTATTAAATTTAAATAAATTTAATACGAATGACCCTAGCGCTTTCAATGGTAATCTTTAAATAAAATTCCTTAAATATTATAACTTACGTCACACACTTTTAGATTGGTAAACATTCTAAAAGTTCAGTAAAAATTTTTCAAGCTCCGAAAATTTTTAATCGAATTTTTTTTTGTTTTTTACGCTTTGATTAAACCTGTTACTGAAAGTTTGAGCTTTAAGAAAATATTAATCTGAGAAATCTATTTTTATATATATTTTTTACGTATTTTGGATTCAAAAAAGAAAAATGTGGCATATGCCACTCTGCTTCTAAGCCCCTTATATAGTTGACCTTGTCACCTCTGTGATAGCCCTAAGAATAAGTGTACATATTGTAGTTAGCAACCAGAGCTCAAATATCCCATTTCAAAAAATTCCATGAATTCGAAAAATATGTAAAGTTGGCCCCCAGTTTGGTTTCCGAGCACTGATCGTTCCAAAAAATTTGCACACACCGGCACTTGTTTAAAAATAATTTATTTACGTTTCCCTACTACGAAGAAGTGCGATTCCACCGAAATCTCACTTATTGTATACAATGCTGATATGATCAGCACATAACCGACCAATATGTGTATTGTCTAGTTTGGTGAAAGTGTTAGAAAAGATTATGTAAATGCCCTTTGAACACTTCCTTTGAATTTTTAGGGCGCTCATAAACTTTTAGTTTAAATACCTAGAAAAGTATGGATTAGGTTCTTTCGTGGAATTTCGTTTTGTGCCAGTTGAATTCCCAAAAAAGCTCCAAGTTTTAATTTAATCGAAATTTCTCCATACAACTGCAGAGCAGATGGATGACATAATCAAAGGAACAAGTTAAAGGCAGAAAAATTAAAAAATTTTTCTCCTCGAACTGGAAATACCGAATTTCAAGAAATTCCATCAATCCGTTTCGAAGATATGGTAAAAAGAGTAATCCCAAGCGCTGATCTTTCCAAAAAATTCACAGGTTCATTATTTTAACACGCCGAATTAAACTATTAAACAATTATTTTCAAGGATATCGGTTGAAAGTTTTTTTTTTTATATATAAAAGTATGTGAAATAGGCCCTCTAAAATGTTTAGTTTCCGAGGTCTGTTACATTACAAAAGTTGATTAATTCTTGCCATTGCCAAATAAACTCACGTATGAAAAAATATCATCAAAATAAGTTTAGCAAAACTTGAGATATACGCGTACACACAGGCCGACAGATTGACTATTGTATGCGATGTGGTTGCATGTATTCTCATTTACGAGTATCATATTAAGTATATTATAAGAATTGAGAATGTGATTTTTTTTCCGTTTTCCTCTTTTGTCCTGACTAGAATTTTGTGCATTACGTATCAGGATTGGCGCAACGTTACGTTAGTAGCAAAAGTGCTACTTGTTAATTTAAAAGTGCTCCTTAATTCTCGGAGCCTCTCCTTTTTGACTATTTTCAAATGATGCTGATGAATTAAATATCCTTTCAATTTCTTTTTCTTACATGTTTAAATTTATTTATCCTTTTTCACTTTGTTTTTTATACAAGCACAAGATTATATATTTGTATAATCCTTAGTTTTTTAACATTTCATTTTTATTTTTAATACTATACTATGTGATTTCAAAACATATACATATATATGTGAAAAGATTATAATTAATGTATTCAAAGTAAATCTCATATTATGGCGCTTCCAAATCATATTGTACAACGCGCCTGTCTTACACAGTCTGCTATACTTAAAATTTCAAAAAGGAGAAAAATTATTTGAGATTGACGAGTTGTGAACATGGTTTCCATACGAAACTATGTCTATTCATGAAGGCCTATATAATGGTACCCTTCGACATACGTTCGTACGGGTATAAAAATTGAAAAAAGCGTCAACGTGAGTTAATAAGGAAGCAATTGCATACAATAAGAGAGGCTATGTGATGGCAAAAAACTTCGTATATCAAGTTTTCGGTAGGAACATACTTCTCCATAGTAGGCAAGTGTAAATATACTGTTTTTAGAGAGGTTTCAGTCAGTCGTGCTGTCTTTGTGTGCACGCGTATATCTCAAGGTTGGCTTAACCAATTTTGATGAAATTTTATATGTAAGTTTATTTCGACTATGCCACGGATTGATCAACTTTATGGATGTATCAGACCTCGAGAACTAGACGTTTTTGCGTGCCAATTTTACATTTTTGCGTATATAAGGAGAATTAATTAACCAATTTTGTTGAAATTTAATATATAAAATTGGAATACTAAAACAAAGAATCTGTAAATTTTTTTGAAAGATCAGGGCTCGGAAATCAAATTGGGGACGTAAACGTAAAACAATGGAACGGATTGATTAACTTTTGGGACATATCAGGCCTCGGGAACTGCACTTTTTAGCGGGCCGGTTTTACATTTTTGACCATTTTGAAGAAAATATTCAACCGATTTACTTGAAATTTCATGTATAAGTTTCGCTTGACCGTCCGCAAAACTTCCTAACTTTTGGAAGAAATCACATGTCAGCAACTGGGCGTTTACTACGGGCCAAATATACATTTTTGCGTATATAAAGAAAAATAATCAACCGATTTCATTGAAATTTAATATTTAAATTCTTCGTATTAAAACATTGAATTAGAAGATTCGAAACCTGATCTGCGGGACGATTTTACATTTTTCACTATATCTAATTTCACTAATTTTTGTTTCAAATAATTTTGTATTTATTGCTCCTAAGCCAGGAAAGATACGACAAAAATATATTTTAATTTATAAATTACTACAATATATTTCTACAATATAAAAAATTTAATTTTTTTCTAAACACAGAGCAGAAAAAGAGTGGGGTGACGGTATTCGGGGGATGGCGTTAACAGCCGCACGGTATGCACTACTGAGACTGGAAGAAGGGCCCCCACATACAAAAAATTGGCGGCCCCAAATCTTAGTATTAAGCAAATTAAATGATAACAACTTACCAAAGTATCGAAAAATATTTTCATTTGCTGCCCAGCTCAAAGCTGGAAAAGGCTTAACAATATGCGTTTCGGTATTAGTGGGAACATGTGCGAAAATAATCGCAAGGTCTGCCGAATCGAAAGCTACTTTGCATAAATATATGACTGACGAGCGAGTTAAAGGATTTTGCGATGTTCTGGTAGCTGAACACGTTGGTGATGGATTGTCTGCTGTGTAAGTAACAGAAAATTAATTTTACTGCTATAATATTAAATGATAATCACTTATTATAAGGTTCGATGTTTACAATCGGACAAGGCCAAGTGACCATAGCAAATGTCTTTGTATATGTAGAAGAAAAAAGTTCAAAAAAATTTAAACCCAAGAAGTTTGCAAATATAAGGACAAACATTCAGTTTTGTCAAAAAAGATTATAATTTTTTTTTTAAATTTATATATACAAATTTGATAAACTGAATCTAACATTTCATCGGCGTGCTTTGTTTTTAGTAAATAAATTTTCAACATCAATCAATCATCAATTTATAATATTAGCCCTCCAACGATCTCCAACGCTTGCAGAAGAAATAAGATCTCCAACGCTTACAGAAGAAAAAGCAACATACGGAAAAAGATAAAAAGAAAACAAAAAAAATATATATTTTCAATTCTGTACATATTATAATGTATTCAAAGCGTACAAAATGTATACCAATTTTCTGCCAAACTTATTCATTTTCGTTTAATTTTCATATTCTCATAAGTTGAATGAGCTGCATCAACGATTACATGCGTATATAGTATAATTATTCTTCATACTCATTATTGTAATGTATAGTTATACCTATACTATACGCAGTGGTTTTCTGCAAACTAACTTTAATTGACAGAGAAATTAGTGCATGAATCATGAAGAGACTAGAGTGAAAAAGTTTTGCTATTTTTTTTATTGTTATAAATTTTTTAAACATTCTTATAAACATTATGTAAATAAAGTAAGTAAAACAACGCGGTAGATAATATTCAATACCATATTACCATTCGTTTTCTCCACAAATGAAGTTTTTTGTCAACTCTTTCCTACACACCGTTTGAATGTGTGCTTTAAGTACGTATTGAGCAACAACTGGTACAATTATCATGTTCATTTTACTATTTTTTTGGTATACATAATTTTTTCGAAGTACGATTTTATAACATGTGGGAAAATTTAAGTTGCAAATAGAACAAGAGCGATTTTCCGCGGCGAAATTTCAAAATTCATATACATACAATAATATGCATAATATATAAATTGGACTGTCTGGAATGAAGCGAAACTACCGACGCGGAGTTTACCGTTGGCATTGAAATAGCCTAAAATTCCGTTTTACCGCTGCCCGTTTTGTTGACATCATCTACTTCTATGAGTGTGCGGTTTTATATGCAAAATATTGACACTTGATTTTACCCTCAAAATATTGACACTTGATTGACCCTCTGCAAAAGTACATTCTTATTGTAAGTAAAATACTCGTCATATGTGCGTTATATTCTGCATAAGTGTAAAGAAAAACCAATGCGATGAATAACAGCGGCGGTTATTAGCCAATAACTACAACGAACCCGTAAAATCAAATGTCAATATTACTTATTGATTGATTACTGTTAATATATAGACGCAATCTTTCATATTTTGCAATTCAACCTCTTATTATCTAATCTAATTTTTAATTTTTCTTTGCTTTCTTTCTTAAATTGTATATTTAGCACACAACGATGAGCACAAAAACAACTTTATTCCAATGTGAACATTTTAAAAACATCAAATTTGTTTTAAGTTGAATAACTAGAAAGATAAGTTTAATCTCTTTCGTAGAAGAAAATACCTAATATTGCAAAGGTTTTTTTTTCTTATTGAGTTTCTTTACATTAGAAGATTTCACCAGTGATACAGGGTCTTATATTGTGTATTGTACAGCAGAATAATGTTGTGTTTTAGATTATTTAATTTTTTAAAGTATATGCGTTATGTGTAGAAGTATGCGAAAACCGATTAAATTATTAGAAAAAATTACTTAAAAGAATTCGTCCTTCGATGCCATAATTACCGAAGACGAGTGCTTCTGGTGCCCCCAAACATGCTGGTCAATTTATAATTAGAATTAAAGTACGTAAATAAGGTGATTCAGTAAAGAGCACAATATTATATATCCTTGTTTAAGGCATAAAAAAATGGGAAAAATTTTTGTTTGAAACTAGCGGTCAAATCTCAACGGTTTCCGAGATACAAGGATTTTAACAAAGTTTTACGAAATCCCTATTTTCCAAATCTTTTTTGCCTAAAAACGGTTCTTAGAAATGTCTACTGCCTTTTGGAGTAATCAAACTGCCTTTTGATTAAAAATTGTTCAAAATTTCAATTGATTTTGTTTTGATCAAAAAACATGGAGCTTTTTAGAAAAACTAAGTTATTGATAATTTTGATGAACTATGGACAGCTTCTTTCCGTACTTACAATCACAATTTCAATCTTAAATATCTCAATATATAAAAAATGGACTCATACCATTTTCCAAAAAATCAGCTCTGTTGATAATTACAGCACTTAAAATCAATAAAAACGAGAAAAAATGCGCGAATAAATATGTCATAGCTGACTATGGGATAGAATATAACTTAAAGTTTCCATATTGATTTATCCAAAATTTCAGTACTGTGCTTTCAATATTTTTTAAGATATGGCCAAACTACGATTTAAGTTGTATGGCAGCTACGAGAAAGAGCCAAGCAATTTCAACATTCGCTTCTGTGGGAAATTTCAATATCGTCCGATCGCACGATAACTCAAAAACAAATAACGCAATTGACACCAACTTTCACAAGTTTTTTCTTTTGCGCAAATAAAGGCTGCTATTGTAATTGCTACCAATTCGGACAACGGGTTCTGGTAGCTACCATAAAACTCAAACAGTTTTTTTTAAATATTTCAAAACTAATTATGATCAGAGGCATTAAATTTTTTAAAGGTGTGTCCAATCATGTTCTACATACATTCTGAAAATTTTAATGGAACGACTGCATTGGTTCGCGTATTAGCCATATAACTTCAAAAGTTTGTTTTAAATATTTGGAAAAATAATAAAAATAGATTCATGAAACTCGGCAAAGGTGTGTCCAATTTCAGACGTAACCCTGAAATTTGGGTTAAATGGCTTTCTGAAGGTTAAATGGAAATATTTCTGAAGGTTTAGTGGAATGACTTGACAGGTTTAAGTCGCTGTCATACAACTCCAAAAGAAATTTTAAATATTTGAAAAAATATTTAAGCTAGATTCATGAAAATCGGCCGTCGTCTGTCCACTTATAGGTCTGATATAATATCTGTGAAGTTTCTATTGAGTGGTTTAGCAGATTTAAGTGATTGCCATTTAGCAATCAAAGTTATTTCTAAATACTTCCAAAAAAAATTTTTAAACTCAGATTGTCAAAGTGCAAGGTATTATTCAGTCTGTTTATAGCGACTGAAACGCTTTGCTTGTTTACACTTTATTATGGTCTTTAAAATCTTGACATAGTAATGGTTTTAGTGCTATATTTCCTGTACCATAACATATTATTCAACATTTTAAGACTTAAATTAAACTTTAAGCAGCTGGGCTTAACTCTGTAAAAAAAGTTTCAAAATTTCATTCGAAATTATTGGGCTAAAGGAAACTAAAAATTTAAATAAAGGAAAAATTTGACTGTTTTTAAAATTTGAATGCTTGATATTTCGAAATTACATAAAACACAAAATCGAATAATATGTGGTTCTCAAGCGCTTTACTAGTCCTTCCAGATATTGTTCATTTGAAGCTTCTATCTTTTTCGAAAGGAAAGTTATAAGCAAAAAACCTTTGCAAGTAAGAATTTCCTATAAGTAGGAAAATCCTTGTATATTAGACAGCGCTGGGATTTGACACCTATGTCTAAACAAAAAACTTAATTATTTTTGATGCCCTAAACAATAGTATATAATATTGCAATCTAATTAATTCTGATACGAAAAAAAGAGACCGTTTGAAATTTAAGAATATCTGACCAATGGTGCTGTGGTTATTGTACTTATCCTTTAACTGAATGGTCTCGAGTTCAAAGCCCAGTCAGGTCACTATAAAAAATTATATTCAATATTATATAGTTAACACGTTACATATGAAAATAAAAAAAAATTAATATTAACTAATTACCATATTTCAATAATATCCAATATTAAAAAAAAAAACCAGCAAAATAAAACATTAAATATCAATAGCCTTAAAAAAGAAAAATAAAACTAAGCTAGGTTCGTCACCTACCTAGTAAACTCAAAAATGTCAGAAACTGGTCCATGTTTATTTACAATAATTATGCACTAGCCCTATGCTCCTCCCAGGAGCGAAGAAGGATAAAAACAAAATTGAAAAATATTTATTTTTAACAAATTCATAAAGGAAATCATATGTACATATATGTCTTCCAGATTTAAAGGAATTGGTCGAATTACCTTTGTTCTTCTATAATTTAAGATGATCATACAGTAAATTAAATTTGATTGTTATTTAACTATTTCACTTTATTTTTGGTTTTAGTGTTCAAACAATTGGTTTAGGAGGCATGAAACCAAATACCGTCATAATGGGATGGCCTTATAGTTGGAGGCAGCCTGAAAAACAAAGCTGGAAAACATTTTTGCAAGTAATGAGAACAGTAGCAGCATGTAGAATGGCGTTATTAGTACCGAAAGGCATAAATTTCTTTCCTGAATCGACGCACAAGGTACGTATAGACAACTGTTACACAGAAATAACTAGGGTAAATCATTGCATTATAGCCATTTTCTTAAACCATTTGCATTTCAGGATTAGAGTTTCTTTAATTTTATTTCCCAGTCAATATTCCCAATTTAATTTTTGTTTAAAAGAACAAAAAACTGACTAAAGCTCGGAAACAGTTTCCGATTATCAGTGGCAGTCTGCATTAGTTTATTGGCATATACAAAGCATTTTCTAATTTTTCAAAATTTAGCAATGAAAAATTATACAAATTATAATGAAATTTTATTATAATTTAAATTAATTTGTTGTTTATTGGTTTTGTTTACACAACTTCACTTCTGGATTTGCTTTTTTGATAATGATTATCATAATCCACTATTCATTATATATTTGACTGTCGTCGGTTACGAGTATTTGTCAAAATCCTTTTCACGAGTAGTACTTCTGTGTTGTATAACGTGGATTATTCAACCAGAATATAACATACAGCTAGTTAACATAAGACTAGCAGCATTTTATTGATCAATAAATTCTTTACGTTAAATTCTTTTTTTAAATACATATCGTCGCCTAAGTAATAGTTGACTCCATACGCCATTTACTTGATTCCGAGAAAAACGACTTTAAAGTTTGAGATTAAGTAAAAAATAAAACTGTGCGCTGCTGTAGATATTTTCAATATTTTCCCATAAGCATATGGTTCTTATTATAGGAGGTGGACTAAAAAGAAATTAATATGCACCAATCCATTTTGTACCAAAGATTAAAATTATGCATATTTAGCATGTTTTTTTTTTTAAATTATTATACTCATATTATATTCGTCAAGGGTATATTAACTTTGATATAGAGTTTGTAAACATTTGAGTCGTCATTGATATGAACGTGTATTATGAGGGGCTCAGAAAGAGAGTGACATATGCACATTATTTTGCAAAAAATGCAATTAAAAAAAACGAAACGAAAGAGTTAGCAAAATCAGTATCAATCCTGTATTGACGTTATATATTGTTGTTCTCAGTTTTTCCTGTAGTTTAGCTGGATTATTACTATTTTAGTCTAACTTTAAAAAAATCCAGTTTTTGTGGGTTACACCACTTTGGCATTGCATATAAAAGAAAATATTAAAAAATTTGTTAATTCAAATGGTTTTTTTTTATAATATTACACATAACGTATTTTTTATCATAATTTTACAAAATTAAATGTAATTCTTAAAAATAATAAATTAATATGCAATTGCATTTAAAAATTATTTCGTTAATCATTTTTCAAATATTTACATGTAACCTTTCAGCTTTCTATCTTCAAGGGCGTAGAAGTTTTGTAAACGAACACAAGAACAGACGGACGGGATAGAATGAAACTAATAACAATTTCTTTTCAAAAGTTTTCTGGAAAAATGCTAAAAACAAACTTAAATAAATGCTACATGCACAGCTCTTAATATATAAGAATAGAACGAAATATGATAACAATATTATTTACCTTAACTTAACGGCCAAAGAAGGCTGTAATTAATTAGATTCTAAAAAATGGTGCATTAAACCTAAAATCATAGTTTCACAGACAAAAATAACTAACAAATAATTCAAAATCTTATTTTTAAAAATATTAAATTAAATATTTTTTGCCATTTTTCCAGGTTAAATCAAAAATACGTAAAACCGAGAAAAATAGAGTTGACCGTGTCAACTCTGTGATACCCGTACAAATTTGCTACCTTATGTGCGAATAAATATGTTATAGCTGACTATGTTTTTAAAAGCAGTATTTTCACTTGTTGAAGGAGAAAGTGCTACAATACAAACCATTGGTTTGACCCAACTTTATTTATTTTTAGTTATGAAAATGAAATTAACTTAGAAAGTTTTTTTAGAAATAATTTACGTGAAAAATAATTCTAAGCTTGCAAGAAGCTTGAATAATGAGCAATTCGTGTTACATCTCTTGTTTTTTCCTACCTTTTTGAATATTAGAATCGTTAGAAAGAACTGAATCCATCACTCAGTCATTAAAAGTAGGTATATGATAAAATATACATATATTTTACAAATATATTATTTTATAATATAATAGCAAAGATTTTACTTTAAAAGTTGAGTTCCAATGTTCGCTCGGTAGACGGTAGCATAATTCTTTTATTTAATTTTTCGTTTCCTACAACCCTTTTTTTACAATGAAAAATATTAACAGTAGGCCGTGGATATGGACCATTTTTTTTTAACAAATGGGATGTTGATTTAAATGGTATAGGTTAAAATTAACGTATAAAAGCGTTCTATTTTGTTCCATTTCGCACATTCTATAATTAAATATATGGATGTGGAACAAAATCGATACTTGGTTTCTCGAGAATTAATAAGGGTAACCAAAAACGGGTAAGAAATTCTAAAGAGCGTGTTTTAAAACCGTAGGAACAACTCCTAACTCAAAGATGCAATGGCGTGTGTACCAAACTAATATTTAGGTGACGATATATCGAAAAAATGTTTCATAACACCTTTCGGTTGTTTAAGTAGCATTTGAGATTCCATATGAAACAAAAAGAATAATATGAATTTTTATATGACTGTTAAACGGCCTAATAAATATTTTTTCGATATATAATTCAGATGCTTCAAAAAAAAATTTAAATTAAAATAGTTTAAAATAGGTCAAAATTTTTAATTAGTTGACAAATTTTTGTGGTATAATTTAAATAAGTAAAATGTTCAACCCTTGCAAAAATTATAGTTTTTACTATAATTTTACTATAATAATATTGACTATAATTATAATCAGACCTCAAATTAAATCTAGCCTGAAAAGTTTATAATAAAATTTAAAGATACTGCTATAAAAGATAACGTTATGCAATGTAAAAAGAAAACAAAAATTGGGAATGGAAGTATTTACTGCTCAGAATTCAAAAAATAATAATCGGATTTAGGTGAACGAAACACTAATTTTATATATTTCTCTCTTACTTAATAACGCGAGAGATTTGAAGAGAGAAAAAAAAATGGAATTTGCATGGGTTGAGGGGGGCAAATTATTCATTAGAAAAACTACTAAAAGTGAAGTACTAAAAATATTGTATAAATCTAATTTAAATATGGAATAACATTTCGTATGAATTGCCCCTAAAGTACCATGTTAAGTCAAATTTGCATGAAGCGATAAAATTTGTTCGAATGAAAACTCTAAAAGTTATATATTTAAATGACATGTAGCAATTGTTGACCCAAATGCTTTCTATTTCGCTGCCAGAATCTAATACATGTCTTAATCATATTTTGTTTAATAAATCCCAAACTGAAATATATATATGACTACTTCACAATAATATTTCTGATCATGTAGGAATGATTTTGATATTACAAAAAAAAATATGATGTGGTCAGCACATAACCGACCGCATTGTATATTTTCTAGTTAAGTGAAAGGGTTACAGAATATTACAAAAATTTCTTTTAAATACTTCCTTCCAATTTTTAGGACATTAGTAAGCTTATAGTTAACATACCTAGAAAAATCTAAATTTGGCTCTTAGTAGAGTTTCGCTTTGTGCAACCCGAATTTCTTGAAATGCTCGCCAGTTAGTTTCGGTAACAACCAGAACTCAAATATCAAATTTCAAGAAATTCCATCAATTCGTTCCTTAGATATGGTGAAAAATGTAAAATCGGCCCGCAGATCAGTTTTCGAGCCCTGATCTTTCCAAAAAATTTAACTGTTTATTGTTTTAATACGAAGAATTTATATATTAAATATCTATGAAATCGGTCGATTATATGTCTTTATATAAAGAAAAATGTATATTTGGCCCGTAGTAAACGTCCAGTTGCTGACACCTGATTTTTGCCAAAAGTTAGGAAGTTTCGTGGACGATCGAGCTGAGCTTACATATAAAATTTCAAGTACATCGGTTGAATATTTTCTTCAAAATGTTCAAAAATGTAAAACAGGCCCGCTAAAAAGTGCAATTCCCGAGGCCTGATATATACCAAAAGTTGATCATTCCGTGCATTTTGGAAATAAACTTGTATATAAAATTTCATCAAAATCGCTTTAGCCGAACTTGAGATACACGCGTGCACACACAGACCAACAGACCGACAGTCCGACGGACCAACAGGTTGCTAAAAATAGTTTACTTACACTTCCCTACTATGGAAAAGTGCATCCCCACCGAAAACTCGATATGCAAAATTTGTTGCCATCACATATCCAACCTATTGTTTACGCAATACGGTCGGTAAAAATCTATTATTTTGTTTCGTTCAATACTTTCTTAACAAGAGTTTGGAAGTTTGGTTTCTTCCTAAACAAGAAATATGTTTGTATACTAAAAGTACACTAAAACGAGGAAAACCGGCAACATTGATAAACCTAAAAAGTTAGCTGTTAAGCACGGCACAATAGTTTTCCCTACTCACAAAACATAACTTAACGGTATATAGTAGAATACTTATAACAGCCGATTCATTTGCTACTAATTATTTTCAAAACCGATGTATGCATAAAATTATAATATTTGCGTTGGTAATTCTAATTAGCTATTATTTTACATTTAGGGGAATAAGTAATAGTATACGTATATTTTAATATAAATAAAATCATGTATAATACAAGGTGAACCTATAACGTCGTATAATGATGAATATTTAACATCAAAAATCACACAAATCGCTTCGCACAAAAAAAAATGTAATATGATGATCAACTCAAAATCTTTCCAATTATGGAAAAAAAATTAGATGAGGTAAATAGTGTACTAAATGGTCACTTTGTGAAAAATTTGACGTTCTTTTTTCTTTTATTTACTTATTTCCTCAATAACTTTTTAAGTAGTGTCTCAAAAGACACTATGTATTCTTTAAAATAAAGAGCTACTTTTCAGCTTTCCATTGTATATTAACTTTTTCATATATAGGAGTTATACCTATTTATGTCGATACCGACTAGTACCAAGGGAGAACTTCCCACACCAACCACAGAAATTCCGAATATATTCCTATGTTCTCACGCCATCCACAGAAATTCCGAATATATTACTTAATTAATTTCAGAAATAAACATATAGTCAACATATACATACATACATGTATACATGTATATGCACATGTTTATTTCTGAAACTTCTTTTGTTTTTGGATTAAAAAATTAACAAAACTTAGTTATTGAATATAAATTTTTTGAAATTACTACTAAATAAAGACATCGAACTATTATCACAGAAATTATCTTGTCTAACAAAATTTTTTACTTTTAAAATAACTTATCTTTAAGTTTACTTTAATGTTGGTTACTTTCTACTTTAATGTTGGTTATAATAGTGTTTTCTTTACTTTATTGCACAGATTTGCGGAAATATAGACATATGGTGGATTGTACATGATGGAGGGATGCTTATGTTACTACCATTCTTATTAAAACAACATCGTACCTGGAAGAACTGCAAATTACGTATTTTCACTGTAGCACAAATGGAAGATAACTCGATACAAATGAAGAAGGATTTAAAAACATTTTTATATCATTTACGCATAGAGGCAGAAGTTGAAGTAGTTGAAATGGTTTGTGGTTTTTAACATTCGAATAAAATTATATTTTATATTACGGTACATTTTAAATTATAATAATATGTATATAGTATATTTTCCATTTTTCTATCTGTACTTATCTGCAGATAATGTACAGTGCATATAAATTATTAAGACATATAGTAGTTGAGAGATATAATATCTTATTTATAGAAGTAAACTATAAATGTTATGTTTGTACGCATAACTTTATTTAGTATGTTACTTTTCAGTACTTTTCCTAAAAAAATTAAAAAAAAAAGTGATTAATAGTTTCACTCTGCCAGGCCGCCTGCCCGTCCGTAATCATAAAAAAAAATGGCCATTAAAATTGCGTAGTTTTTTCCTCCTTATATTTCGGGAACCACAAGTTTTAGTAAATTTATATAAAAGCGGAAAGCTAATGGTAAATGTCATGCCATCAAAAAATATAATTAATTTTCTTAACTTAAGCAATTAACCCTTAAATTCAACCGTTATGATATCACCTTTTTAATCTTATAATATATTTTTTTTAAGTTTCTTTTCTATTAAAAACGGTTTTTTAAAAGTTTTTGACCTTGAAATAGATTTTCTCTTCCTATTTTCGTTGAAATTTTACTTTCAAATAAAACATAAAATTTTAGCTTTCTGTCTTCAATGGTGTAGAAGTTTTGTAAGCATGTTCACGGACGCATTTTTTTTTAAAAAGTAATATAAGCATTTTTTCAAATCAATAAGCATTTTTTTCAAAAAAAAAGAGTTCTAAAAATTAACCAGATTTATTAAAATTAAATTAGTAGGTTTAATTTTATAAACGAAAAGTATTTGACAAAAATTTGTATTACATAATGCATGTATAAATACATACCACACCGAGCTAAATTATAATGTTTGACAATTTTTTTTACAAATTTTCAACTTGTGTTTTATTTCGAAATTTTACTTTGGCATTTTATGTTACTATAGCTTATATTTCAAACACCTTTAATCTTTGAAATTTACCAGTGAAAAAAACAAAAGATTAATTAAAAAAGACTCGATAATAATGATAGAGACTTGATGCATAAAGGGTAGATGGTGTTGGGCGAATTAATGAGAATATCAGTGTATATCGGAGTGGTTTTTGAGGTAAAAAGTGGTAAACTACATCAGAACAGCTTGTTTGTATATCAAAACATAAAAAATTGGCTCACAAACAATACTGCATTTCACATTAAATTTTTTTTTTGTGGGTATTGAATGTTTTTATTTTGTGCTAAGGCTTAAATTTTTTAAGTTTCCGTTAATTTAACAATTTAGAATATCGTATTTTGAAAATTTGTTCTAACTTAGTTATTTTAAGAAATTTGGTACCGTGTCTTGACTAAATGATAGTTTTAATAGCATTAGTAAATTGCCGGATACTTCGTCCTTTAAAAATGTAACATCTGGCTGCTTATAATAAGATTTTACTACTGAAATTGCAATTTCATGTTTTTGTAATTATTCATTCATTTTAAATTTATTCATTTGTTGTAAACTCAATAAGCTGCTGAGCTTATGTAAATTATATTTAGCAAAGTATTACAATACTGCCAAATGTGTCTATGATTCGTTTTTAAAAATATCATATATATTAACTTCTTAAAAATTAAAGTAAGAAATTAATATAATAATTTAATAAATAAAAGTAAAAAATTAATCGTATACAAAAAAACTGATGTGGTCAGGCAGCACTTTTCCTTTTTTTTTGTAATGCAGGTGTTAAAAATAATTAAAAGACACAGATAGGTGAAAACAAACTGTCATCAGACCTATTAACAGTGGTTATCTTAGCGCAGTTCTTTATTTCCCATTTCCTTGAGGGACACTCAGGTCCCTATGACAGTCACAACTGCGCATATAACATAGAACACTCATCATGTTAAGAAGAATCTTGAACTCTTGGTACAATTCTTTATGAATTGTTTATATATTAACTCTTTATTGTATGTTGACATTCCAGACCTACGACCTAGGAGCCAATAGAGCAAATAGCTCCATATTTGTTCTCTAATTTTATTCTTTCCTTTTTTACAGGTTCTTTCCTTCTGAGTTTAACATCCAAATTCATGCCTAGATATTTCGCTGTGTTTTAGATTGATGCTTTAGCACCATTCAATCTCAACTGTAGTGTGTTTCCTAAACTTTTATTTATGAAATTTACATTGATATTTTTTGCTCTAAGAGAAACCTCCAATTCGTTCTTTCTACTTAGGACACTTATCTCTCTCTCTCTGCTTCCTTTTACCCTGTTCAGAGCGTGGTGGCACTATGTGTTTAATCTTCGATGTTATGTTTTAGATACTCCTTCCAAGCATTCCGATCTTGCGCAAGGTGAGTTGATTCTGCAGCAGTTTTGTGTGTTAGTTTTCGTACTTGATCTATCCATCTATTAGGTGATCGACCCCTAGCTCTTTTTCCATCAACTTTTCCCTCAACAATCAATTTTTCCATTTTTCCATTACGCCTAGCAATATGGCCAAAATATCTCAAATATGACTCGCTAATCTTCTTCATCAGTCTATGGTTAACATTTAGCTCTTGCAATACCGAATTGTTAGTGCGGTGTTCTGTATATGGTATTCTAAGCACTCTTCGGTATACCCACAGCTCAAAGCTCTCGATTTTTTTTCTGTCGCTTTTCTTTATAGTCCATGTTTCTGCGGCATAAGTTGCTATGGGGAATATCAGAGCATTTACTAGTCGACACTTTGTATTTTTACATATGTTTCTGTCTTTCCAAATCTTCGTTAACTTTACTGTTTGTGTTCTTGCTATTGTAAGCCTCCGCTTTATTTCGTCTGAGCAGCTCCCATTGTTTGAAATTACGGAGCCCAAGTAGTTAAACTTACTTACGACTTCATACCCAGCGGCCACAGTCATATTTGGTTGATTATTTAGCGCTCTATCTATAATCATTACTTTTGTTTTTCCTACGTTAATTTCTAAACCATATCTGCTACTTATTGTTGTTAGCTTTTGCATAACGATACCTAGTTCGGATTCATTTTCGGCTAGAATAAGTGTATCATCCGCGTAGCGTAAATTACTTATTTTTCTTCCACCAACAGATATTCCACCTTCCCACTCATCTAATACTTCCCTCATTATATATTCGGTATAGATGTTAAACAGCAATGGTGAAAGTATGCAGCCCTGTCTTGTGCCCCCCTTTGTTGAAAATGTGTTTGACGTTGTTTGGTTGACTCTAACCGTTGCGGTGTTGTTGTTATACAGGCTGTGAATTATTTTTACCAAATGACCAGGAACTCCCATCCGAGTCAGAATCATCCAAAGCGATCCCCATTTGACGCAGTCGAAGGCTTTCTTGTAGTCAACAAAGCATAAAAAAGCGGTCAAATTGTACTCCCTAACTTTTTCGATGATTTGCCGTACATTTAATATTTGTTCTCTAGTTCCTTTCCCGGGGACAAAGCCGCTTTGTTCTTCTGATATTTCTGGCATGAGGAAGGTTTTTAATCTTTCATGTATAATATGTAGAAATACCTTGCTGGCGTGTGGTATAAGTGCAACTGTGCGATAGTTTGAGCATATCTGAGGAGAGCCTTTTTTATAAATCGGTATGAATATAGAATGCACCCAGTCATCTGGCCATACACCTGTTTGCCATATAATATTACACAGGGCCAATAAGTGATCTATGGCATGATCTTCCATTACTTTCAAGATTTCTGCAGTTATTCCATCTAGTCCAGCCGATTTTCCGCTTTTTAGTTTATTTATTGCGCTTCTTACCTCAGATTTTATTATTTGTGGTTCCAGTTCTTGCTCAAACTGCAGATTTGACACATCATTAGCACTGGTACTGAACAGTTTTGTACAGTATTGTTTCCATACTTCTGCAACTTCTTTCTCATCTGTAAACGTTTTTCCATTTTCATCTTTTATGATTTGTTTTTGAGGATTGAATTCTTTCACCAGATACTTTACCGTTTTAAATAGTTCTTTTGTATCATTCTGTGTGGAGTATCTCTCTAAATCGGCACAAACTTTCGCAATGTGGTTGTTTTTGTCCATGGAGCAAGCTTTTTTAATTTGTTTGTTCAGCTTTTTGATTTCTTCTGGACTCGTAGTTCTACCGTGGTGACGTAATTCTCTTCTCTTATCGACAAGCTGCAGCGTGGTATTTGAAATCCAGTGTTGTTTTTGTTGCCTCTGTATCGTTCTGCTTTCTATTGCGGCTGACACTATCCATTTTTTGAACTTGTTCCAATATTCATTTGATCCTTCAGTTTCTTGTATGTTATCAGGTAACGTTGATATTAACTTTTGCATAAACCCATCCCTATCAGTAATCGTGAGTTTTTGCCTCTGCTGCGATCTACTTATGCAATGAAGTTTAAGCATAAAGTTGCATACCAGTAACTTGTGGTCGGTATCACAATCTGCACCAGGTCTAGTTTTCACGTTTCGTACAGAGGTTCTCCATCTTTTACGGATCAATATGTAATCTATTTGATTTTTATATATTTGGTTCGGATGTGTCCAAGTAGATAATCTACGCGGATGATGCTTGAACATGGTATTCATTATAGAGAAATTGTTGTCTATAGAGAATTGTAACAGGCGTTCTCCTCGTTCATTCCTATCTCCAATGCCATAAGCTCCAACAACATCTTTCAGTTGTTCGTCATATGTTTTGCCGACCTTAGCATTGAAATCTCCTATAATAAGCAACGGTTCCTTGTTTGGTACTTTTTTACACGCTTCTTCTATTTTCCCATATGTTGCCTCAATTTCTTCATCTTCTGCTTCAGATGTCGGCATATACACTTGTATTATATGGAGACACATAGGTTTAGCCTTTACAGAGATCTTAATAATTCTGTCATCGATAGTTTCGTACGATGTAATGTGTTGGGCTATTTTTTTGCTAACAATGAACGCTGTACCGCATCTCGAAGAGACACTATCACCAGATGTAAAGATCTTATGATGGTCTGTTTGGAAATGTCCTGTACTTTTCCAGT